CAAGGATCTTTTGTTTTGTTCATCTGTGTATTCCAGATGCCTAGAACAGTGCCTGTCACATTATTATTGCTCAGAAATTTTTAGTTAAGTGAATGAATATTAGCAGCAACAGAGTTTTTGGGGAAAAGGAAATGTGTAACTATGAAGTTCTGCATTAATGTATATGCATCATCCCCTAACATGTTCATCTCATCACTTCATGGCTCTGGAAGCTTTTATGATTCAGCTTTATTGTTGGTAATTCAGGCAACAACTGGACTGGCAATGAGAATATGAATATGAACCAAGGCAGTTGTGTTTGAAAATGAAAGGACATAGGTGATATAGGTATAAAGGGGAATTCCATATGTCTATTTTTCCAATAGGTATGTGCTTATAAGCATAACTTTAAAAAAATAACAAAAACAATTATCTTACCTTTACCCACATATTTGCCATTTCCAGCACCCTTTATTCCTTTGTATAGATCCAGATTTCTGTGCGGTATCATTTTCTTCTGCCCAAAGAACTTTTTTCTAACATTTCTTGTAGTACATGTCTCTCAGAATTTGCCATTTTCACTGGATATTGTATTCTGGGTTGACTTTTTTTTTTTCCAGCACTTTAAGTGTTCTTCCATTCTCTTCTCACATGATTTCAAATGAGAAATCTGCTGTAAATCTTACTGTTGTTTCTCTACATAATCTGGCTGGATCTAATACTTTAGCTTTATCACTAGTTTTCTGTAATTTCATTATGATGTACCATGGTGTGTATGTGTGTGTTATAATGTTTATGCTGCCTGGGGTTGCTTTAGTTTCTTGGAACTGTAGGCTTATGTTTCTCATCAAATTGAAAAAATTTTGGTAATTTATTTCAAATTTTTTTCTGTTTTCCCCCTTTTTTCCATTACTCCAGTTACACATATGTTAGAGCATTTGCTGTTGTGCCACAGTCTCTGAGGCTATTATGTCCATTTTTACCAATCATTTTGTCTCATTTTGGATAATTTTTGTTCTTTGTCTTTAAGTTAACTGATACTTTGTTTTTGCAGTCTCCAGTCTAGTGTGTTTTAAATTTCAGAAATACTTGAATATATAGCATATACAGAATATGCCTAGATATTAAATTTCAGAATATACTTGAATATACAGCATATACAGAATATGCCTAGAATTATATTTGGGTCTTTTTTCTATCATCTGTCTCCTTATTTTGTTCATGTTCTATTTGGATCTTTGAGTATATTTATGATAGTTGTTTTAAGGTCCTTGTGTGCTACATATATCATTTTTGTATTTTTTTATTGAATTTTTAAAACTATATGGTCATAGGTAATATCTTTTGCCTCTTTGCTCACCTGGTAATTTTTTATTGGATGATGCACATTTGAATTTTATGTTATTGAGTGTTGGATCTTGTATTCTTTGAAAAGGTGTTGCATTGTGTTCTGGAATGCAGCTGAGTTTCTTGTAAAATAATTTGATCCTTTTGAGGCTTTCTTTTAAGCATTATTAGGGCAGGTCCAGACTAGTTTCTAGTATAGGGTTCATTTAGTTTCACTATAATATATTGATATTTTGGAGAATTCTATCAAGTTATGAGATCTCTCCACTCTGGCTGGTGAGAACACAAACTATTCCCAGCCTTGTGTAAACTCCAGGAATTGTTCACCTACTGGCTGCTAGTGGTTGTTTTTTCTACTTCATATTGTTTCCTTTCACTCATACCTAGATCAGTACTCAGGAAAAGATTGAGGGCATCCCCTGCAGATTTCCAAATCATTCTCTCTTGTTGTATCTCCCTTTTTTCCATACTCTGCCTCACAAATTTTGTCTCCTTCAATATCCCTAACTCCAGTCTGTTCTGTATACCTCAACAAGACTTCTAGACACTGTTTAGGTTTTCTTCCTTATTCTGTTTTCTGGCAACTGCCTCTAGACAGTAACTAGGGGTCAGTTATAATAATTGAAATACTATTTATTTATATGTATCCCATTTTATATATATCAGTCGATTATAGGGTTCACCTCATTTCCACAGTCCTATAATAACTGTTATCCAATGTCTGTAAAACGTTTTTTCATAGGTTTTATCTGGTTTTCAAGTAGTTTAGAATGGGACGGTAATTCCTATAGCAGTTAATTTTTCATGAACAGAAGCAGAAGTTCTACCAAGGGCAAAACAACTATTAAAAAGATGCTAGTTATAGGACTAGTTTTTCAATGGCAGAAATAATGTGTGGAAGAATAGGGAGATGTTGCAGAAAGATATGGACTGTTGAGAGTCATAACCAGTGAAAGACCATCTTGTACTTGGAAACAGTGTAGCTGATGCAATAGGTTTTTTCCTGATCCTAATAACTGGGCTGGATTCTGTAGTCTCTGTCAAATGAACTTTAAGTCCCACTCTGCATGGTCTTGGGTCTGCTACTGTCAGTGGTCTAGACAGTTTATCTCCAGGGGCACTGTGTGTACAGGGGGTCGGGGGACAGAATCTGCTCTTTGAGGGACCTGGCAGACCTCCTCTTTGCGCCTTGGATTCTGTATCTATTTTGTGCTTAGATGCCTCACCATTACCTTCTCTGACACACTTCTCCCCACCCACTTTCCCAATCACTTGACACTTTTGAAATCATTCTCCTCTCAATGACTAACCCATTTACTGTTTCATCAGCTTCTTAGGTGTGAACTGAACCTCTGTGAATGTGTGCTAACATTGTAGTCACATGCCTGTCCCATGGGGGAGCCAAGTATCGTGGTATATAAAATGCCTATGCTGGATATCTGTGGAAGAAGCAGGGCTAGCATTTAGAGCTCCATGCCAGTGAGTTCAGTCCGGACAAGGGGACCTTTGGCACATACTCGGAAATTTATCCCCCAGGGAGTTTATATTCAGATGGACAACCCCACCATGTTCACAGAATCTCCCAAAGATGATTTGGACTTAGCCCTTCTAGGATCCACAATTCTGACCAGAGTTTCTCAAGCAGCATTATTGACATTTCAGGCTGGATAATTCTTTGTTATTTAGAATGTCCTGTTATTTGCAGGCTGTTCAGCAGCCTCCCTGGCCTCTACCTACTAAATGTCCGGAACACCCTCCTCAATGTCTCCAGATATTGCCAGATGCTCTCTGGAGGTGCAAAATTGCCCCACTGAGAACTACTGGTACAGATACACTATTGTGTCCCACACTCCAGGGAACCCAAAGAAATGAATTTCTGGGCACTAAACATGAAGAAACCTACCAGTCCATTTGGTATCTTCTTGGGAGAGATCAGTCCAGATTGTCTGCCCCATTTTTTTGAAATATACTAGAAGAACATTGACCTTGGAATTAAAATTCCTGGATTCAAGTCCTACCTTTACATTATTTAGAGCAAGGTTCTCCACTTCTCTGCTCTTCAGTTTCCTTTTTTGAAAATGGTGATGTTTACCTCACATGACACTGTTGTGATAATGAAATGAGGTTTTATACACACACATACATTGATTTGTTCTTCTACATGAATTAAAGATACAAAAACATGGACTTTTTACAGTTCAAATATAAATATGCTATTTGGCAGTGTGATTAGAGGGCAATACAGGAAAAATATGTCTTCCAGTCCATCATGTTGAATTTCCTCCCTGTGGCTTCTAATATCGCTGTGTGAGAGAAGAGACATAGGGGCCTACTCTTAAAACAAGAAAAAGATTTTCTTTTCTGCAAGTGAAACTTCAACTTAATTAGGATGCAGTCATGTTTTTATGTTTCTTAATTTTTCATTCAGTAATCTGACTAAACTGCACATGAATTTAAATGTATTGATAGGTGACAGTGGCTTTTAGTTTTCTTGGGGTTTCATTGTAATGAGCCTGGTAAATAATTCAGGAGCATATGAGAGGCCAATGAATGGGCAGCACCTGGTGTTATATTGTTTATGTCTAAACATGCAGAATCCAAAGATGGCATTCTACACCTGTCACTATTATTCTGGCTTAAACACTAGTCCGGTGTTCAGTGGTTGTTGAAATAATAATAACTGATATTTTTCTCTTCCATTTTCCTCCATGCTAGAAGAAAACTTCTAAGCTGTTTCAAAAACACAAAGTAGAAGTGGCATCTTTTAAATTCCTACTAGTAAAATTTCCAATCTGTTTTCTCTATTAAGGGATGGCTTACTCAAAAAAAAAAATTACAGACATGTCTACCTTTTATGCTGGGGCTAATTTGAGCTTTTCTGCATTTCTACTTTTGTTCTGCAAGGTAGAACTTCTTTTAAGATTGCAGTATTCATATTGCAAGCATCTTCTGAGAGAAATAACACCATCCTCTGGCCACTCACTCTGGGAATTCCCAGATCTCCTCAGTTTCTCTCCCTATTACCCGAGTAATAGGGAGATAATGTCTACTTCAATGTCTCACCTGTAGTAGTCTACAGCTTCAAAACAAACAAAAAACTCTTGACAAAAGGGTTGTGTGTACTTCTGTGACCCCAGCTGACTGGACATAGAATGTTCCTCTGCTCACTGAGTGAACAAGTGTTCATGTGACTGACAGACTTTGCATGCAGATAGCATGGGGCTCCTGAGCCCACTGCCATGAAGGAACTGATAGAGCTTAAGTCATGAGTAGCGTGGAAAAATCTTGGAAGGTCAGGGGATTTCCTAGTAGGTATAAAAGGAACATGCTCCTTACATATGTAAACTAAAGTTTTTGTAGTAGTGCTGGACTGTGAAAGGGTTATGAAGAGAGACTGTAGAGCTTTATATCTATAAACTATTCGATGAGTTTTGGCTTTATTTTTAAGTATTGTTTATTATAAAGGTTTAAAAATATATTCATTTAGTATATATTCTATTTTAAAACTTTGTTATAGGTAATAAAGCATATAGCTATATATAACAAAAATACAACTATATGTAATTATAATGTACAAGATATTTTTAAACCACTGTAATAAACCATTAGAATATATGTATATATATGTTTGTGTTTATGTGTGTTACCAGGTTTAATTGTTTTCTGTTCCTTAGGGACCTGCGTGAGTGCTTGGAGCAGTGACTGCCATCTGGTGGCAAGCCCGAACCATCACTTCATGTACCCTAATGATTGCTAAGATGCCCCCTCGACTCACATGGTGTGACTCGGTGGCAGAACACAAGGAAAGCCAGAGGGTATCTGATGAAGAAGCCTAGTGAAATAACCCTTTGCTTCCATACAAACGGGTTGTTCATCCCAGATTCTGAGGCAGGAGACAGCTCCAAAATGGTGCCTCTGAAGAAAAGATTTGAATTGCTCTTGTGTTTTAGTCAAGGAGCTGCTGGTTACCGAACAGAGGGTAACCAAGACTGTGAATAAGCACACACCAAGAAGAGCATGTGATGACATGGAGCCTGAAATAAACTGCTCTGAATTGTGTGATGGTTTTTCTGGCCAGGAGCTAGATCGGAGATCGCTTCATGATCTCTGCAGGACCACAATTGTAAGTGAGCAGCCATGGTGGGTCAGGGCTGCTCAGAGGTACATGGTGGTGGTGGTGATGGTGGTGGGGAGGTGAAGGAGGCGGAAGAAGAGGGGGAGGAAATGCTCGCACAGGACATGTATTTCCCGGCTTTGATGATGATGGACCAGTTCGTGTCTGATCTGTAGAAGAGCCTTCATTCCTAACAGCTTCTCTTTATTCTGTTCTCAGACCTCTTCCCATCACAGCAGTAAGACCATTTCTTCATTATCTCCTGTCCTTTTGGGTATTGTGTGGACTTTTCACAGCTGTGGACTTCTTCTGATAGCCTTCTTTCTTGGCTTCACAATTCGCTTCAGGAAGAACAGGTAAGCAGCCCATGCCTAGTTTGTCTCTTATAGCCTGAATCATGAAACTCAGAATGTTAGTATCAGTTTGGCACCAAGAGCTGCTAGGTGGTATCAGCAAAGCTAGTGTCCTATGTGGCATTAAGCTATGTGAGAACTTACCCCCTGAAATAGTCCTGGCCTTGCAGTATAATTTCTTCTTGAGAAGGAGAAAGATCTAGCCTGCTATTGTGCTAAGTACCTCAAGGACACCCAAAGAGGAGAGTGGATGAGACACTCTTCATAAAGGAGAGTTTGATTCTTCTGAGAAGATGAGGTATTTGTATTAAAAACAGAATGTAAAACAATATATTCCAAAGTAACATTAAAGTTTATGGATGGTACAATTTAAGCCAGTCTGGAGGCAGTGTTAAAATAAAATTCAAATAATTTCTGTAAAAATAGTGTGGCCCTACTACCTGGCTAGTTCTGCTAGATAATACTGGCTGGTTGGAGAATCTCTAGCTCATCAAGATAAGTATTGAGGGCTCCCGGGGCTGGCAAAAGGAACAAAATGAAGACCTTTTATTGGAAAGGACTTGCAGAATCCTGCCTTTACTGTTATTCATCCTTTCGCTCAAGGCCCACCACATGTCTCCCACTCCAACATTTTGTGCCCTCAGGCTGCCTCCAGACAGCCCCACTCCAGCCCTCTCTCTCTGGCCCACAGCTGACTTCTGGATGGAGTCCCATCAGATTTCAGCAACTCCCCCAAAGAGGCGGAACTCGTCTGGCCTCACTCCAGCCTTATATTTTCTGGTAATCAAGTGTGTGGTGCTCCATTGTCTAGGTTTGGCTGTCAGATAAGGGTCAGTCATTTGGATTTGTCTAGCAGGCATTTTGGGGTGCCATTGGCGATTTGAGGTGGAGGACGTGGAATTGTTAGGCAGCAGTGACTTGACCTCCTGGATCAACCTCAGTGTGGCAGTGGTGTGTGGCACTCCATCCTGCATATATCCCAGAAGCTGCCCCTGCTACTTTCCATTCTGTTCCTCAAATACGCTAAGCTCACACCCATTTCAAGGCCTTTGATCAATTGTTCACTTACTGTTTCTACTGAATGACAGTCCTCTCCAGATCTTCCTGTGACTAGTACCCTCTTGTGTTATATCTTGGCTCAAATGTCACCTATACAGACAAGCTTTCCCTGATCACCCTATCTAAAGTAGCCTCACTACAGAATGGTCACCTAATCCCCACATGTCATACCATATACCATAACCATTTTATTTTCTTTATAGTAAGTATAACTCTCTGATATTACCATATTTATCAGTTTACCTGATTATTGTCTGTATCCCCCACCATAAAGTAAAGTCTTTGAACACAGGGACCTTGTCTGTCATGCTCACCACTGTCTCTAGCATTTAGAACAGACTCTGGAACATAAAAGGTGCTCAGTAAATATGCTTTAGTTATCCTGTGAAGAAGAATATTTAAATCCCACTGTCAAGAAAATGACAAAGAAAATCATGCATTTCAAGATTATAAAACTATGGAGTACATATAGTATTTTCAGCTGCACTATATTTCTATAATACAAATTCATATCTGATTGGAAAATAAGAAAATAATATCATTGGTTCATATGTCGTATTTTCCCCAGCAAATCAATCGTTTAAAGTATTCAGGCACAAGCTTTCTTATAGTTAAAGAAGGAAAACTTAAACTAAAGATACTATGTCAGTACAATTTGTAGTTGGTTTAATGGCTTGAAGAACTGGTGTCCTTCCTGCGACATGAAGCTCTCTGATGAAGCTGTATGACTAGATGATAAAGCAAAGAAGACATTTCTCTTGTATTTAAAAAAAACTGATAGTTGAAGCACAGATCCAGAGAAGATTTTTAATTTTGATGACAATTTTATTATTGGAGGTGAATGCCCTTGAGAACTATATCTTGTAGAATTAACACTGCAAAATCCATCTGTGATCCTGAGTACAAATAGTAATGGATATTTGCTGAGTGCTAGTATTTTAATTGGGATAATTATTTTTATTAGTACCCTGGTTCAAAGTTAAATATGTCTCTACTGTTATGGCCCCATACTATTTTTTCCATAACCCATTATTTTTTACACAATTTTATAGAATGCAAGATTTTCAAAGCATTTTTATAACCTGTTAAAACAGGAACACCTGTATACAGTATTATAGTAGAAACACCTATATTCACATTCTATTAAAGATTTTGCTGCCTGTCTTGCTTGCAGTGGGAACATGACATGGCATAAAGAAGGAAATATTAAGCAGCACTATGGACAAAAACTCATTTTGCAATTAAGTAGCATACAAGTTTAGAAAAGGAAAGATAAAATAATGTAATTTCAAAAATGCTTTTTAAATAATAAAATGTGCTCAGAGTTTCAACATCACAATTAGATGATGCATTTCATTCCAGTTCTGCAATCTCTAAATTTTTTATTGTGTGTGTGTATGTACATGTGTGTGTGCCAGAGGAAGAAAAATATTCTAATAAAAAAAATAATGCAGTAATGTTCAATTACATATATTCCATTTTTGATAAAGTTTTAAAATGTAATCTGCAAAAGAATCAGTAGAGATAGAGAAGGCTTGAACAGTATTATCAACGAATTTGACCCAGTTGACATTTATATAATCCTACACCCAACGCCAGTAGAATACACATTCTTTTCAAATACACATGGAACATTTATCAATGTAGATCATATTCCGGACCATAGTAAAAGTCTCATTAAGGGTTCAAGTCATATTCTCTGACCATAATGGAATTAAATTAGAAATCTGTAACAGAAAGATCTCTGGAAAAACCTAAAATATTTATAAACTAAATAGAATACTTTAAAATAACTTATGGTCAAGAAAAAAATCAAAAGAGAAACCAGAAAGTATTTTTAACTGTATGAAATGAAAATACAACATACCACATTTGTTGGATGTCATTAAAGCAGTACTTAGGGAGAAATTATTGCACTAACATCCATATTAGAAAAAAAAGGAGATCCACTTTACAAAACAGAAAAAAGAGCAAATGAGTCCCAAAGCAAGCAGAAGAAAGGATATAATAAGAATCAGAGTGGCAATTGATAAAATAAAAAAAAAAACAAAACAAAGCAGTGAAACCAAAGTTCTTTACGAAGATCAATAAAATTGACCAACCTCTAGCTCAAGTGATCAGGAGAAAAAAGAGAGAAGATGTAATTATCCAAATAAGGAAGAGAGTAGTGACATCAGCTAAGATTATGACAATAGAAGGATAATAAAGTAATGTTAAGAACAATTGTGGTAGGCAGTCTCTAACATGTTCTTCAGTGATTCCTACCTCTTAATATTCACACTAATGAGATGCCACTTTTGGGCTAAGGTTACAAAAAGATCGTATCTTCCATCTTGGATCTCTCTCATGCTTTCCCTTGCTCACTCTGAGGGAAGCCATCTACCATGTTATAAGCTACCTTTTGGAGCGGCCCACATGGCAAGGAACCAATTCCACTGTGCATCCAGGAGGGACCTAAGACTTTCTAACAGCCATGTCAATGAACTTGAAAATAGATCTTCTGAGGCTTGCTTAACAGCAATGCGAATGAGCTTGGAAGCAGATTTTCCCCCTGCTGAGTCTTGGAGGCTCAGCCACAGTTGATCCTTTGATTGCGTTCTTGTGAGAGACCCTGAACCAGAGACACTCAGCTAATCTGTGCCTGTATTATTGTAGAAATAGTATCAATTTTACAAAAAATCTTCTAAAACACTGAAAATGATGGAGTATTTCCTAACTCATTCTATGAGAGCAGTATTATCCCAATATCAAAACAAAGATATTAGAAGAAAAAAAAACTATAAGCTAATATCCCTTATGAATCCAGAATTCTAAACAAAATTTTAACAAATTGAGTCCAACCAAATATCAAGAGAATAATGCATCATGACAAAGTAAAGTTTACCCTAAAATGCAAGGTTGGTTTAACATCAAAAGATTAAGCAATATAATTCACCATATTTACCAACTAAAAAAAAATAATCATCTTAATAGAAAAAAGCATTTAAAAAGATTCAATATCCATTCCTATTAAAGTCTCAACAAACTTGGAATAGAAGAGAAATTCTTCAACCTAACAAAGTGCATCTATGAAAAAACCTATAACTAACCATTTTTAATGGTAAAAGACTGATTGCTTTCCCATTAAGATTGAAAGAAGGCAAGATGTCTGCTCTCACCACTTTTATTCAACACTAGATATTTCAACCAGTGCACCTAAGTTTAGAAAAGAAGAACTTAAAATGATTTTGCCCTCAGGTGACTTGATTGCCCAGGTAGAAAATTCAATGGATTCTATTCTTTAAAAAAAAACTACTGGAACTCATAAATGAGTTTACCAAGGTTTCAGGTTACAAGATCAATATACAAAACTCAGCCGTATTTCTGTATACTAAAAACAGACAATTGAAAAGTGAAATTAAAATCAATAGCATTTACAGTGGCACCAAATGTATGAAATATTTAGGATTAAATCTAACAATCTGAAATACTTGTACACTGAAAACTATAAAACATTGCTAATCAAACAATGTGAAACAACTGTATGATGAAAACTAAAACATTGCTGAAAGAAGTTAAACAAATCCTAAGTAACTGGGAAGACATTGCATTTGTGGGTTGGAAGACTCAATATTGTTCATTATTGTTAATTGATCTATAGACTGAGCCCAATTACAGTCACAATTCCAGCTGTCATTTTTTGTTTATACATTGACAAGTTGGTTTTAAAGTTCATATGAAAATATGAAGGACCTTAGCCATGGCAATTCAACAAGACAGAGATAAAAGGCATCCAAATTGAAGATGTTAAATCATCACTATTTGCATATGACATGATATTATACATAGAAAAACCTAAAGAGTCAACCAAAAACTATTAGAGCTAGTAACTGGATTCAGCAAAGTTGCAGGATACAAAATTAATACACAGAAATCTCTTCCATTCCTATATACTAACAACAAAC